CAAAACTATAAACATCACACCTCCTTGATACTAGTCCTTCCAAACCATATTCTGCAGTGGTAATCCATTATATTTAAAGAATCAATTACATGACCTCTGTTGCAAAGGACCTGAAGCAAAATTGGAATTTAAAAGAAAATTGAAGAGTTAGTTTTAGACTTTAGCCGTGCAATATAACCAAAGGTGGCTAGCGTTCTTGTGTAGACGATGCTGTCGTCTTTATCCATCAATTTTGCGATGCTAAAGTCGGTTACATGAGCAACCATTTCTGCATCTAGCAGGACATTACTAGGCTTCAAATCGCAATGAATCACTGGTATCAAGTAGCCATTATGAAAATAATCAATTGCACGCACCACATCTATCATTCTGTTTAATCTCTGCATTATATCCAAGAAATAGTTGTGGGAATACAACCACTTTTCAAGACTACCACCAGGCATGAATTCAAGAACTAGAGCTTTGAAATCATTATTACAGCAACTGCCAAGTACTTTTGTGAGATTTCAATGGCGAACGTTGCGAAACACTTCACATTCTCTTTCGAAACTCCCTGGTGAAATTTTCACTTGTAAATTGAGCATTTTAACCGCCACTAGCATCCCATCTTTTAAAATCCCTTTGTAGACAGATCCACAACTCCCTGTGCCAAGCAAATTGCTTTTCTCATAACCATGAGTTGCTTGTAAAAGCTCATAATATGAAATCCTTTGCACAGTTCTGATCTCCAATATCCCTTCAGTCCTACCCACCTCAGTTTTGTTTCGATACATTAGAAATACTATTGTTAAGGTTATAGCCATTAATGCTGCTCCAATACCAGAGGTAATGAATATTACATGAGATGTTTTCTTCCTGGTTGACTTGTGACCCATGGAAGTGCTGCAAGGAGGAACAAGAAATCTTGTACTACCACATAGCCCTCCATTAGACATGAATGATTGACTCGTGAAGTTTTTGAAAGGGCCATCAGATGGAATTTCACCCCATAAATTGTTTAAAGAAAGATTGACGTAACTGAGAAATTGAAGTGCCACCAAGGACTTTGGGATTAGACCTGAAAGATTATTATTGGATAAGTCCAAGAACACCAAATTTGACAAGTCACCCATCGAGTCTGGAATAGATCCTTGTAGCTTATTTTCTGCCAAAGAAAGTGTCAATAGCATTTGCAGACCTCCAGTTGAGCTCGGAATGTTTAAATTGCATAGGGCACCAACCGCTTTTGGAATTGAACCTGTGAAAATACAATGAACTTGTGACAAAAATTTGCAAGAACTCGGGTCATTAATAATTAATTGAAAAGCACGTATCATTCATCCATCGACTTACTCATTTCTATAACAGAGTTGATGACTAAAGTTATACCTACCTCTAAAATTGTGGTCACCAAGATATAATAATTCTAGTGTCGTCAAGTTCCAAATTTCTTTTGGAATGAGCCCACCAAAGTTGTTGTAGGACAAGAAGTATTTCAAGTCGTGAACACCGAGATAAGCTAGATGGTATTTGGCCACTTAACTTATTCGAAGACAAACTAAGCTTTTTCAGTTTTGTAAGATTGAGACATACATCAGTAGGCAGATTTCCAAACGGGCTATGTCCAAGCGCTATAGTTTCTGGCGTTGATATGTTGAAGACTGAAGATGGTATGGAGTCATTAAGTTGGTTGGTTTCAATGTCTACATACTTCAGGCTATGAAGATTTCCAATCTCCTCTGGAATGATTCCTTGAATGGAGTTGGATGATAGAATCAAGTTTTCAAGCTTTAAAAGGTTGAAGAGAGAATGAGGGATCAAACGTGTAAAATTATTCTTTTTCAGATTCAAGTATTTGAGGCAGGTTAAGAAGCTAAACCAGGAAGGAATTTGTCCAGTGAAGTTATTGAAACTTAAATTGATCACCCGAAGTCTGTGCAAATAAACAATCTCCTGAGGCAGACTTCCCTGGAATTTGTTGCCACTCAAATCCAGAGTAACCAGAAATGAAAGGTTTCCAAGTTGTCGAGGAATGGTGCCTGTAAGACCCATGTTTGAAATATTTAAGGCAGTCACCCTGTGATGGCGAGAACTGCACGTAACTCCATTCCAGATGCATGTAGATGCAGAAGTAGTTCAATTGGTTTTCAGAAGATTGCGAGGGTCTGCAGTGAGATGGGATTTTAAGGCGAGAAGAGCAGATTGATCAGTGGTGATGTCGTTTGCTGCAATGATTGAGCAAGTTGTCAAACAAAGTATCAACAAATGATGAATCAAAAGGCATGTTTTGTGAGTTTTCTTCATGATCAAATTGTAATTTCAGACCAGAAGGCTATACTTTCTTGGATGAGAGCAGAGGTCAACTTAATATGATTGGCCTGGAGACAAAGGAGCAAATTTTTTTCGGATCCTTGACCAATTATATCCGATTTGTTGTAATTTAATTTCTGTAAACTAAGTCAATATTGTTGGGTACTAGTTAAATATTTAATGCCTGGTTTTTTAGTCCAAGTCATTACTGCAATTTATTTGAACAGATTCGACAATTATGCCCTGATACTTTAGCCAGGTTTTGCTATAGTCAATCATGTTTGAAATTTAATATATGCGCAACCTTATGATTTCAAAGCTTAGGTACTCTCACACCAATTATACCGTCCTTATATCTCTAAGAGCACCTCCATCTCTATGGTTAGTGAAAACTGACCTTTTTTTTTGCCAAAAAAAGAAAAAGAAGTTAAGGAAAATTGAAATTTTAATCCTCAATGTTTAGTGTGTGAACCAAATTGAACTCTGATCCTTGGTCATAGGACATGTAGTCCCTAACATATTCAATTTTGGCCGAACTTATTCCCCAATGTTTTAATTTGAACAAATATAGTCCCTAAAATATTTAATTTGGCAAAATTTGTCCCCGGTGTTGCATTGAAAAGTTGCAGGACGTCACCAAAAATGTATTTAAAAAACAGCAGAATCCGTTGAATTACAAGAACTAAATGAGATTATATAAGAAGCACAAAGGTTGAAAAAATTTAGAAACCGTAAAATAAGTGTAATAGTACTAAATTCTGTCCAAATGAAGACAATGATAGATTTGGCAGATTTACTGAATTCATAAATCATGTGATGTGCTCCGTTTGTTTATTTGTATACTTTCTTATAATCATGGATTAAGTAATATAAAATATACAATAATCAAGTTTTGGTTGTTAAACTTATTTTGTTTTATTTACAAGGTGTAATAATAAGTCTAGGACCTGAAACAATAATCTAGTTTTAGGGCATTTTCTAAAGTTGTAAAATGTGTTTTTCTCTTCATAAGTGTAAATTTTATTTACAAATACTATGCAAAATAGAAAATAGTGTATTTATTTTATATTTTTTGTAATTTTTGTTTTTTTCCTATAGTATTTATCATTCTAATAGCTTTTTATGTAATTATCATAACTTTTTATGAGATTTTTATGCAACATGGCAGACAATTGAATACTTTTGGGCTACATTTCTCTAGGTCAAGACATTCGAGATCAATTCGGCCAAACTATGTATTTTTGCTTTGGCCCAAATATTGGGGATTAATTTGGTTCAGATCCTGTACATTGAGAACTAAAATGCATTTTTGCCATTAGTGTTTGAAGTCATAATTAAAACTTGAAAAGAATAAATTAGGATTTACACATGGTACAATAGAAAATGAAACTTGAGAAATTGCTTAAACTCCCAAATACAAATATCATCATCTAAAGTTATATAGGAACTTATGCAAAGCAGTATAGAATGAAGCCATAGTAGGAGTTTTGGGGTACTATTCCCATTTCCACTCTAAAAGAGAATATGTTGAAATTAACAGAATAACTAATGATAAAAGTAAAATTAACACGGAGGACCAAAAGTTGTAATTCATGGAATTAGAAAAGGCACCATTTTTTGTCTGGGAAGTCATTATTTTATCCAATAATTGTTATTGCCATTTTCATGGGGCTCCATTAGGTTTAGGTATTTTAAAAAAAGGCAAATAAAATATATTTCCCCAAGGACAGATTTACACTGCCCCCCCTTCCCCTAAACATTTTAAAATCTTTGTTTTGTACCCCAGGTTTTAACATAAAAAATTCATAATATCATACTTCTTGTCCCCTCAAAATTTTTTCATGTTTATTAATGAAACTTTTTCGAGAATGAAGCCTAGTAATGAAATGTCTTAAAATGAATTTGGATTAAAGATTCCATTCAAATTTTTTCAAAAACAAAAAAAAAAAAAAAGATTCCTTTCAAATGAATACGGCCAGAGGAAGAGTATTTCACTGACAAGCTGGAGTGCATTTTATTGATCTTTATATTAACTTTAAACTGATGTAGAAAGTGTCCGAGTGAAGGATCAACATGAAACAAGTTATAGCTGACCTGAAGAAGATTAAACCAGGGAGAGGTTTAATGCTTTCCTGATGATCAACTACTCTAAAGATAGTTGATTATAAATAAAGTAATACAGATTGCCAAAAGATTTTGATTTGGGATTCACAAGAATATTTTATTGCATGTAAGGAATTCTTTGGTTAAATACTAGCTTCTATAACCCTATAATTAGTCAAAAGACATTAATTTCATATCAATGTTCGAGCTATTTCTACAATTTTACTTTTTTTTTTTTTCTAGGAAGCTGGTAGATACATCTATTGCAAGTTTGGACCCAAAAGCTCCCAACTGTTGGGCATGAAAATTAGAACTACTAGAAACTAAGTCCATTTTGGCAAAGACTTCAAATTTGTCAATTATGATTATAGCCCTTGTGTAACTATTACAGGCGTTGTTTTCAATTGAATTAAAAGTCTAATGTGATACATTATTATAAGTTCAAGTAACAAAATGCTTTACAAGAAATTTTAAGGAAGAAATGATGAATTCTAACAGTTCATAAACAACTGTAGAAGTTCTACCATTGACCGGAGATTATGATTCAGTGCATTCTATCAATTCATAACAGTTTAGATTTGATATTGTTCATTTCTCTAAGCACTGTCTCAATATTGCATGCTCCTCTCTCTTGGGGATTCTCTTGAGCAATTTAGAGCTATTTCCATGATAAACGATATGCAATCCAGCTTTTCTGCAAAGTGTTCTTCATCCTCCTGCAACAAGTTGGCATCTATAATCTGATATAGAGCATTAGGCATAGAACTTTGCACCAAGTCCTTCAAGCTTGAATTGCCGTTGAATCTTGCATCATTAGGCTTTGTCCTTGTGAAGACTTCCATCAGCATGATTCCATAACTATAAACATCACATTTTGTCGATACGAGTCCTTCCAATCCATATTCTGCAAAGAATGCCAGGTTTAAACAGAGATTCACCAAAAAAAAAAAAAAAAGATGTAAAATTTTGAAGGTAAATTAATTACAGAAAACAGTACTTAACATATATGTTCAAGAAATCTACTAACCTGGTGCTACATAACCAAATGTAGCTATCGTTGCAGTGTGTGTAATACCATCTTCCTGATTCAACAGCTTTGCAATCCCAAAATTACTTACATGTGCAATCATATCTTGATCAAGCAAGACATTACTAGGCTTCAGATCACAATGAACGACTGGGGTTGAATAACCATTATGGAGATAATGCAATGCGCATGCCACATCAATCATTATGTTTAATCTTTGTTTCATATCTAGAAAACAGCTTGGAGAATGCAACCATTTCGCAAGACTTCCATTTGGCATTAATTCAAGCACCAAAGCCTTAAAATCATTGTTAGAGCAACCGCTGATGACCTTGGTTAGATTTCGATGGCGAAGGTTCCGTAGTACTTCACATTCTGTGTCTAAACTCTCGAGTGCCCTTTCAAGTTGTACATGGAATACTTTTACAGCAACTTTTCTCCCGTCATTAAGAGTACCACAGTAGACCGATCCAAATCCCCCAGTACCGAGCAAAGTGCCTTCACTATAGCAATTGATTACACATTCATATAGATGAAGAGTGCGCTTGATAAAATTAAAATCTGAAATCTAAAGTTTGAATTTTGAATCTATTAAATTAGTGAATTATTAAGTATTGAAATATTAACATTTGAACATATTTGAATTAATTAATAAGTGTACAGTTTATCACTTATTTTTTAGAATAAATTATGTCTAGGCAATTCAAAGCCGCTTCCATCATTAAGATGCTGAATTGGGTTTGAACATATTAAAGTTTGAACCAATTAAATTTAAATACTAAATTGGATTATCAAATAGGACCGAAATCTATGTATGTATAATATTAGTTTACTGCAGTTTCACGTTTTTCTATTTAAATGCTGTTTGAGCTTTTTAGTTGTTCTTAGTATCTTGGGTTCAATTCTAATTTTCTCTTTTTTCAATGTGAATTTCATATTGGAAATTGAATAATCTTTTCTTAGTTTTCTAATTATGCTTGTTTTTTTGGATTAATTGATATTGCTTATATAAATATCATGTATTCCACTTTGCTAATCTTTTTATAGGGGAAAAACTAAAATCAGGCCAAAATTGGAGGCTCAGAGGGCCCCCCCCCCCTCTTTTTTTCCCTTCTGCATAGAGGGTTGGAGGCAGAGCATCAATTTTTGATGCAACCCCAATGGATAGGAAGTGTACCCTTTCCCCATGCTATTCTTGACCGTGTCAGTTTTTAATTTGCTCTCGTCGTTGTCAAGGGAGAAGTATTTACAAAAATATATAAAAAAAGGAAGAAGGATTAAACACAATTTTCAAACTCGAACTATTTCTTTCGAGTCAAGTGTGGAATTTTTGTCAGCCACCGTAACATGGTTGTTTCTATTTGGTGCGCTGAAAGCAGTAACATTATGTCAAAGTGTTCTTTGAACGCTTTCCATACAATTGCAAGTATTCTTTCATTTTCCATCACGAATCAAGTCTTAATTCTTGGGAAAATTTATCTACGCATCCCGGCAAAATGGTGCAAGAAAGCCACTATTTTACTACGGTAGCAATCGGCCAATAGTCTGTGTCGACAACTTTGTCCTGCTGAAGTATTTTGGTGCCGAGTTGGGGTGTTCAAAAGAAATGGATCGTTAGCAATTAAACACACAATCTCCAGACAAATTTTTCTGCTAATGCTTTCTGTACAAACACATAGTACTCTGAACTTCGTCCTAACACACCCTTAAGGAGAATCCAGACTGTTGGTTCGAGGGAAAGAGAATTGGACGACATTACTTCCTATATATTCCAAGCCAAGCAGAGTACATTAATTCTGTCATTTACTGGCACCATGAAGAAGTTAGAGATATTCTTAGATTTCCACCTAGCTGCCATTTTGAATGAACTTTATTACCAAGTTCATCTAGGCGGATTGGACTGACAAAATAGTGAATGATGTAAATAGGACATGCGTCTCCTAAAACTAAAAATTGCACAATTATTTTGATTTGTCTGTTCATCAATTTGTGGAAATCAACATGATGCACAATAGAATTCTAAATTTTGATTTGTCTGTTCATTTGCCAATGCCCTTGTTTTTACGGAATCTACTGCACCAAATATATTATATAATATGTGTATTTCTAAAGAAATAACCAAGACTTAAACAAAAGGATGCAGAATTATCAAGAAACAGGGAAGTAAGGAAAGCGATTTGGTGGGAGCTAACTATCCAGAATTCTGGCAATGGGTGGTCTGAATAGAACTTGGACAACGAAATTTATTTGTCCTTCATTTATCAAATCTTGGTATCGTCCCGCAACACAAGATATTGTAAAGATATTGGGCACTCAGTGCAGCAACTTAAAGCCAAATTGAAGATCATTGAAACTATAGGTGGCAAATCAACCCATTTAATTAAATTTATCCATATCAGCCCATGAATAAATGGGTATGGGTATCTTAAATTTTTGTATATGGGTATAAATGAGTTACCCAATAATACCTTTTTAATAAATGTGTATTATTGGATAACCCATCAAACCCAATTAACCTATTTAAAATGCTCTTCCCCCACCCATCTTTTTTTTTCTTCAGATTTTTCATTTTATCATGATGTTAACTACTTTTGTTTCATTATTATTAGTATTTGTTGGTTTATCTTATTATTTTATTTTCGCTTAGTTTGTTAACTTGCTCCTTTTTCAGCATTACCAATTTATGATAAGTTTTAGCCTCTTTTCTTATCTTTCTAAAATGAAATTTTAAATTTATATATGAAAAAAATGTTAGGGGTTCAAAATTTTTGAATTAAGTTTTTATGTTAACTTTTATAGTACTTAATTTAATTTTTTATATTCTTATTATTCAATTATTAAATAGCATGTAATTTTGCGACATAAAGTATGGATAGGAAAAAAATTGATAATTAGGTTTATTGAACATTATAAGTAAATATTTAAAACTAATGATGGGTGTAAAAGGCGGTATAAATTGATAATTTAGTTTGCAAAAATGAATTTAGCTGAGTTTATAAAAAGTTAAAATAAATGGGTTATAAATGGGTAATTGGATTACCCAATTCATTTTTTGACTTATCCATTTAATTAAATGGATATAAATCGATTGACTTATTTATACCTATTACCCATTTTACCCAATCCACACCCGTCCAAGTCACCCATTTTGACATCTCTACTATACATACATGAGCAGATATCGCGCGAGGTTTGTTTCGATACTATTTGTAATGTTCTAAGCCCACAAGCTGCCCCAAATAACTTTTGAGTTAAAATCATGAACTCAAAATCATTATTTCAATATTATTAATAATCCGACAGCCCCGAGGTTATACACCATTTCTTTCCTCTTTCATTTTCGGATGTGGGATACTTCACCTATCATTGAGAGGAGTCACAGGACTGATGGTTGATGATCAAGACTCGAATTCGGTGAACCTTTAAATGCTTACGAGAATAACTCCATGAAAGAGTAGTGTATAAAATTAGTCGTTTCCAGCCAGTTTATTTGGTGAGGTTGTTAATGCTTTCGTTTTCAACATTAAGAAATTTGAATGCTGCATTTATATTTTGTAAATGCAGACTTCTGTCATAAAGACTTTTCCACAAGATGATCAGGACTTCCAATCTACGATCAAAAAGCCCGTTTGAATTGCTATTTTCTAGAGTTTTTATAGAAAAAATACTGTAGCGATCTAATGTATGTAAGATAAAAATGTGATTAAAAAATGTATTCATGAAAAATATAAAAAATTTTTGAAAACAAAAATGGCAGTCCAAACAAGGCTTTAGGGTCTGTTTGGTACAACTTAAAATGCCTTTTTTACCTCACAAATATTTAAATGATGGTTGTTTTCCGGGATATTAATTGCTCTCCGCCTTGGTTTGTGGTGTTTGTACCTATATAAATTAGGTTGGGTTACAATTGTGCCTTCAAGCCATTCCAACAATTCAAAATAAAAAATCATTATAAATGACTAATAGCATTTTTCACTCCTAACTGAAATTCCTGTTTAGACACAATGCATTTCAAACTTTTAGATTTGTCTCGTTGCCTAGACAAAAGTTAACACGCACATGCCACTGTAACTGTTTAAACCAGGCATATCAGTGAAATCTTTCTATTTTGCATCCACTAATTTTGTTTCAAACAATATGCTTGTCTGTTTTTCTATAAGGACTTTTCTTGCTACTAGAGTGGATATGAACTGTGTAGTTAATAAAAGAATTAAGATTCGAAATCTACTTTTCAACGAGTGGTATTCCGGAACGATCAACTTTTTGTATTGGGACTCTTATCTCAATTAACCATAATTACATGGAGAAAAGGGTGAAGAAAATTCAAGTTTTCCCTTTTCTTCTCCTTCGACGATCAATTTTGCAATTGTTTTGACGTGTATTTTGGGCATCCAGGTCCAAGAAGACCAAGAAGAAGAGTTGCTACTTACAACGACAATGGAGTAATATCTATTTTTTAACAAAATTAGCCTACTCTCCTCCCATTCAACCTAGAAATGCAAGCAACCGTGCTTCCAACCAACCCTGAAAGTGTGATAACTAATTTGGAATCTTTTTTTAAGGGTATAAAATGTGTGAAATTAAAGTCTTACGTACAAAGTAAAAATGGATAGAGATATGAATTGCACAAAGTCAAGTCTTAGGGATGGAAAAGAATTCACCTACCTTAGAATGAGATAGGTATCCTCCATTCCGCTCTTAAAAAAAAAGGAAATATATATTTTAAGTTTACAAGTTGATAGGTCACAATTTTATCTTTTATTTTATAATTAATTCTCTCTTATTATCTTACTAAATGTGCGTTAATTGGCAGATTCTATTCACTTTTGGAAATTTGTGCTGATCGCAGGGAGTTGGAACAAAATATGGTATAAAAGTACAAATTTCTCACTACATTTGCTGTTTGGCATGGCCGCGTCAACTCAGGGTTTAACGTGCCGAAGAAACTATGGAATGATGTGTGATATCCAACTGACAATTGGAAGTGCAACGCGAGCCCCGAATATTCCATTATTGTTTGATTTGAATTGACAAAAGTAGTTTAACAAAAATAAGAAACTTACCAATTAGTAGATTTCCTTGTTTTGTTGGTTGCGGTTCAGCAGGATAGATAGAAGTCAATTGGGACTAGGTCACTTCACTTAGCTTTTAAAGGTTAGCCGCCACAAGAAAGAACACGATTTGGCTTTTGTTTTGTTCTTTTCTTATTTCCATCGATTTCACCATCCCAATTAGAGGAATGCATCCAACAATTGATTTTGCAATTTCGCGCGAGATTGTCTCAACGGAGATGAATTAAATCTCTTTTTCTAGTTAAGGAACAACGGATGATTTGGTTCAATTTAAATTGTGAGATCAAACTGATTTTATTTTTTTCTATTATTTTCCGGTACTCATATATTTCCTACTTTATGTTCTTATGGTTGTTGTATTATTCAATTATTCTGGGCCCGGATTTTAGATTAATTCGATAACCTAATACCAATTAGAATAATTAAATCCATAATTGTTTAATTATTCTAAATTAGTGGTAACTGGCATGATTGGATTTGTGTCAGGAAAATATACGAGCTAATTTGAAACAACCCTCGTAGCGTGTTGTTTGGTTAGAATAGGGTTTCTCTAACTCATAAGGAAATTGAGAAATTGAACTCTACGATCGTACTTAGAATTATTTCGCAATTAGGGTAATAGTTAACGGTCGTACCTTGGCTATCGATAATTTAAGAAGAAATTGACTGTCATCGCTTGTTTGGTAGTTATAACTTGTTTATCAGTTTGTAAGTGGAATTATTCTTACATCGATGATCAATGAGGAGAACCATTTCCGAAGTTGCTTCTTGACTAGAGCTTGTCCCATATTTGAGTCTCAATAATTTGCCATTTACTTTGAGTTATTTATTATATTCAAGTAGTCTAGTTTATTTTTATAAAATCCCCCGTATCTGAAGTCTAGAAGAAGTTAATTTCTTCCAATTCCTGTGGATTCTATCCTACTTACCACTAGATATAAAATTTATATTTAACTTGAGCAGGAATTTATTATTGCACAGGTTCGACAACCTGTCACAAGTTTAATCCAGCTTAATATACCAATGCTACAATGATAAGTGTATATTTCGAATGTTTTAAGTGTATTTTATTATTTAGTTTTGGTGTGTTTTAGTCACATTTATAACTAATTAACTAAGTTTCTAGTGAAAATATGTATTTTGTAGTTTAAATGTGAAAAATTGCATTTCTATGGATTTTAATGGAGAAAATTTCATGTTTTTGTAAGTTAATTGATTAATCATCAAATGGCATGAATTGAAAAGATAATTGGATGATTATTGATGATTTAAACTTATAAAAAGAAGATATGAAGTGCAAATACTCAAAGGATGAAATGCAAGTTTGACAGCTTTGACACCTTATGATATTTTGGCTATATCTTGAGCTAAAAGCATTGGATTACGGTGATTCTTGAACCATTTTGCTGCTAAGAAATAGATCTATATTTTTTTATGAAAACATCAAAATCTAGTTTGCAAGTTTTCCAAGTCAAAAAGTCAAAGTATAGAAGTGCATTTTCATTGTCGAAAGTTGAAACAGGAGATTGACCAATTGAGGGTATTTTTGTTATTTCTTGATCCACAGATCTGCAAATTGGATGATTATTGATGCATTGGAAAGTTAAGTCAAAGAGCTATAAATTTTATGTTTTACACAAGAGCTAGTTTAGCATCCATAATTGAAAAAATGTTAGTTGAATTT